GCGGGTAGAGCAGGTCAGAGGAATAATAACTGGGGAGTACGCTTGCTTCTGGTGCCAGGCTGTGTGTTGGAATCAGGGTACAGGTCTGTAGTAAACTCCAGGGCACACTGAGGAATGTATGTGAACCGCAATCCTTTGGGAACAATGCTGTGAAACATTCCTTTCTGAAAAATAAGTTGATTTTTCTAAACTTGTTGAGTCTTGATTGCATGTGGCTGCGGCCCAGGAGTTTTCATATGTAGCTTGCCCAACCTTGTTCATTGGTTTCGATGATATGACTCATCAGAATGATTTTGCTTAAAGGGCAGCAGTTTGATGAATTTATATTCTAAAAACCTGTTTTTCTATACATCCAAAATCAAGCAAAACTTGTGGCTAGCTGTAAATTTAAAAATCAAATGGGCATTTGAATATCTATTACTTGCTAATCATCATAAGGAATGTAAAGAAAAATGCCTCCTTTTATTTAGCTAATAGGCTGTAGTCTCTTAACAAAGGACAAATAAATTTGGTTAAGTGTTTAATGCTTCAATGTAGATGATGAGATTACTAAAATTTATTTACTCTTGCCTTTAAAGGAAATTTCAATAGTTTTATTACTATCACTATTATAATTCTACATTTATAATTATAAATGCCTGATCAAGGTATAATTGACAAAGTTGTAAAATATGTAAAGTGTACATTGTGGTGATTGTATGTCTGTATACATTATGGAAGGGTTCCCACCATCAAATTAATTAACACATCCACCTCATATATTTATCTTTTGTGTGTGTGTGAGAACATTGAAGTTCTGCTCTCTTAGCAAATTTTAAAAATTTATCTTTATTGTGGAAAGTATTACAGATGTCTCCTCCTTCCCCCCCGCCCATTGGCCCCCTCCACCCCACACTCACCCCTCCTAGGCCTTCACTGCACAATTGTCTATGTACATGGACTGTGCATATATGCATATAAGTTCCCTGATTAATCTCTCCCCCATCCAACCTTCCTTCTGAGATTTGACAGCTCTCTGCTTCTATGTCTCTGGATCTATTTTGTTAACCGTTTATTTTGTTCATTAGATTCCACATATGAATGAGATCATTTGATACTTTTCTTTCTCTGACTGGGTTATCTTGCTTAGCATAATACTCTCCAGGTCCCTCCATGCTGTCTCAAAGGGTAAGAGAGCCTTCTTTTTTACAGCTGCATAGCATTCCATGGTGTAAATGTACCATAGCTTTTTTGGTATACTCATCTATACTGATGTGCACTTGGGCTGTTTCCAGCTCTTACCTATAGCAAATTTCAATTATCAACCTTAGGTGTTACCAGCCTTAGTCACCATGTTTTACATTAACACCTCAGACATTACTCAATCTATAACTGAGAGTTTGTACCCTTTACCTACCTCTCCCTACTTCCCATACCTAACTCTTGGCCTGAAAAAAAAATTAATTAATTCAACAAACATATATTAAGTCTCCACTTTGCTGGGCCCTGAGAGACAGAATGGAGAAAGGTGCTCTTCCCATTCTCAAGGAAACTAGTCCAGAGACATAGTAAATAGATGCTGTGATAGAAGCAACATAAAGGGAGGTGTGGCCCACTGATTCTTCCCAGTGCTTCTCATACTTCATGTGTATTTGAATCGCCTGGGGATCTTGTTAAAATGGAGATGGTGATTCACAGATCTGGGGTGGGGCTGCCAAGGATTTAAAAGCACCGTCTCTTGGCTTTGTATTTACCAGACAAGATAGAGAACTAGATGGCAAGGAGGCCATTTCATTCACAAAGATGGTCTTAAGCGGAAGAATAGAGTGGCCCAGGGAGGTAGAAATGAGGGTGGAGGCATGGCAAAGCCTAAGAAGTTGGTAGGAATCAACCTGATTCAGCCTCTAAAATGAAATATTCATTGAGAGGATTGAAAATAATATCCCGTAGCCAATGGGAAATGGAGCTTTTTAAATTGGGTCATGACCGTAGTTCTCATGTTCAGGAGGTCCATGTGATGGGGTTGGGAAGGATAGGAGGACAGGACGCATGGTGCCTAATACAGTTGTTTAGGCAAAATATTGGGTTAGTAAGGATTGTAAGACTTGGATGGAGAGGAAGAAGACTGTTTTGAAAAGAAAGGATGTTCCTAGTGAATTAGAATAGTAAAACCCTGGTGTGGAGAGAAGAGTAGGTTGGTTGCCCGCACAGAGAACAGTGCAGGGGTGAGGCTGGAGGCAGGGAGAACTTTAATTTGGGCGACTTCAAACGCCAGACCTAAGGAGAGTCAGCCCCTTTTCCTCCATTAAGATGAGATTTTGGCAGGTGAAAGCACAGGGACAAAGCAGTGAGCGTTACTTTTCAGACAAAGTTCTTTTCTCTCTGTTGGCACCATCAGTAATATGTGACTATCATTTTCCTCTAAGGCAGCGGTTCTCAACCTGTGGGTCTCGACCCCTTTGGCTGTCGAACGACCCTTTCACAGGGGTCACCTAAGACCATCCTGCATATCAGATATTTACATTATGATTCATAACAGTAGCAACATTACAGTTATGAAGTAGCAACAGAAATAATGTTATGGTTGGGTCACAACATGAGGAACTGTATTTAAAGGGCCAGAAGGTTGAGAACCACTGCTCTAAGGTCTTTTCATTTTCTTGACATTCTTCAGGATGTGATGCTTTTAGCATTGAGAGACTTGGTGCTAGATTATATGGTAATCTGGGGGAGGGAGGGGAGATGATTCCAATGTTTTGAGGCCGGGGAAAAACGGAGAACTAGACTTAAATGAGCATAAGTAGGTAGGAGGCTATCTGTCCAAATGGAATCATTCGGCAAGGAATTGGAAATGGGAGAGGCATTGGGGTTCAGGAGGCAGCTAGGCTGCAAGTGCGAATTTGGGATTCATTCGTACAGGGCAGAGTTAGAATAAAGTGAATAAAATAGACTGCAAGAGAGATGGGTAGGAAGAAAGCCGTGAGCAAAGGCTTGAACTTGGGAAATGCCTGCATTCAGACAGCCAGTGTGAGACAGTGTGATTTTAAAGATGTCAGAGAATGTGAGGCATATATATTTTGTTGATAAATGGAAACAATTTGCTGCAAGAAACAAGTTTGAGTGGAGATCATTTAAGTTGGCAAATCAGAAGTAAAGGTGAAGTTAAGAGGAAAAAAGAATACTGCTGGTAATATAGCACCACCTGGTGTTAGACATTAGGTATTTTTTAAGTGATTTTTATTTTTTTTTCTTCATCAGATGCGTTTATTTTCCCTTTTCTGTTTGGTTCTAAATTTTTCATTTTTTTTTTAATGGAAGCCTCGTGTGTGAATGGGCTCATTTGTTTACTTTTCAGTCAACGGCATGGGGGGGAGTTATGTCAATTTGTTTATTCTTTGATTTTAACTTTGCCCAAAGCTTCTATCTCTCATGGCTCTTTCTGATCTACCACTGTGTCACAGAACACACGAGTTAATTTCGTGAGGTGCCCTGGTTACAGCCAGCCTGCTTGCCTCACCATCATCTCTGCTTGTCTGCTTCTAATAAATCAGCAATACATAAGTCTCGGTGAAGACTTCACCTAAAGTTATATGATTAGGAATATTCATTTTACGTTGTCAGTTGTTAGTGCAGTAGGCTGCGTTTATAAGCTTAAAACTTTCAAAATGAATAGCGGTAGAAACTTTTTTCTTTTTTTCTTACCCCTCAAGGAAAACCTACATCTTTGAAAACTGCACAGCCGTCTTGGGTGAATTTGCCTCGACCGCTTCCTAAGTCCAACGCGTCCTTGAAAAGCTCTGCGCTCCGGCGGACAGGCAGCCCCTCCTCCATCGCCAGCACCCACAGTGACCTGAACGCTTACAGCAGTAATTGTGAGTCAGTCATATGTCTGTCATTCTTTGGGGGCTGTTGAAACGGTCGTTAGATGAAACACCAGTGCCCTGCAAATCATCATTAGACTTTTTGGCTCTGTGATTTACAAGAACATATGCTTGCTGCTTCTTCCTCTCCCAATTTTTCCCCCTTTTTTTGCTCTGAAAGTTTGGCAGGAAAAACATTCTTTCAACAACATTCTCTTTTGATGAATGTGCTATGAAACATAGAAATATCGGTGTTGATGAGACCTGGTATTTTTTATAATAGGTATTCTAAAGTGTGTCATTTGAAGTGATAGTGTTTTTTGGTTTAAGGAAAGAAAGCAATGTAGGGTGCTATTGGAACCCAACTGGAAAAAGAAAACTTCAGCTCCATTTATTTTGTAAAAGACCACATTTTGTGGATGTGTGTTTTAGAATCTTTGGATGCTAGATTCAGTGCAATATGACTAGTATATTAGAATTTCAAGCCTACTTTTACGTAATTTAAATTCAGGAGAATATGTTTAATGTTGCTAATGTGAATTCTGTTTTCTGTGTATAAAAAGGGTGAATTAATTGAGTGCTCTGTTTCATTCAAAAGGTGTGTTTGGTCTTGGTACTTCTTTGCTCATTTAAATTTTCTCACAGAGTTAGTTAATTTGAACAATTTAGGAATGCCTGGCTGTGTGCAGGCATCATGACAGATGCAATGAGAGGTACAGGTTATAAAAGAATGGCGCTTCTCTAAAAGGAGATGAGAAGAAGGAAGATATGTACATGGATAACTAGAACAGCAGATGAAACAAGATGTATGGTTGTGGGGGGAGGTGGGGAGTTCTTTAAGGAGGGATCAGTTTCTTCTTTCTAGTGAGGGGTCAGGGACAGAGCAGAGTCGTGGGTAGCAGAGCATATTACAGGGTTACCATACACTATTTCATGTTTTTCTTTCAAATAATTTCTATTGTAATTGATTATATATATAAGGTAATTCAGGCTCGGAGAGGTTGTCACCGGGCCAGGGGCACTCAGCCAGCATGTGAACAGAACTGAGGACGCGCTTGTGGAGGATGTGGCGTTGAATTAATGAGCGCATTTCCGAGAGCTCACTTAGCAGCAGTAGCTCGTCTGGTGTTAGGAAGGAGCTGGACGCCAGAACTCTAGGAACGCCGGAACATGTTACTTACAATAGAACGGGATTCCTCTCTGCTTATTGTCTGGTCTTGACGTTGTAGCATGAAATCAGAGGGGCTCGCACGGAGCGGAGAATTAGGCATTTGGAAAGGTGATTCGCACGTGTGTTATGTCAAGGCCATTGCGCTTGCCACTTCCTCTGTGTGCAACCGAATGTTAACAATCAGCAGCACCAGCAGCGTGCTCCCAGGGGACCCCACGACGCCGGAGTCTGTGACACTGGAGGCAGACGCTCTGTCGTGTCACCACCCATCCTTTCCCTTTGACAGCCATGTTGACATGGCCACCGGTTCCGTGGCGGCTGACACTCCTGAGGAGGCTGTACAATGCTTTTGTCTGCTCCTTTTTGTCCTGTAACAAAGGGCTTTTCCCTCCACCCACCGAGCCTGCCGAGCTGTGTCCCTGCTGCAGAGTAAGCGTCCAGATCACTGAGTCTCTTTCTCAGTGGGATTTGCTGGCTGGTCTGATCTGTGCTGTGCCGTGCCCTGGAGCTCACAGATACCGCCCCCCAATTCCAATTCACTAAGAGCAGGCATGAAGGATATGGGAGCGAACATGGCTGCAGCTATTCCTGCCTGAGCTTGCTCTGACCCATTTAAATGACTGTACCAGGAGGATTTCGCAGTTGCACAGAAACGGGTATCTCTTCCAACATCTTTATCAACTCGACACTCACCCCGCCGGCCGGCTCAGAGAGGCACTTCGATGCGACTCTCCTGGCACTGCTGGTGCTGGGATCCTACAGCCTTTGTGTGGCTCCTTTGTTAGCCTCACTCACTGGGAACAGAAGTACGTCGGTGATTTCTGGTTTGATTCTTCTCTTTGTAAGCATGCTCTCGGTTTTATTCAGTGCATCGATCTAGCACCTTCTGCTATTTTTGTAACTTGTAATGTATCTTAGGAGCAGTGTTTCTCGGACATATTTTAAGTTGTCATTGATTCCGTCCGGAACCAATTTTATTGTATATTGTGTGTGTTTCCGAACTCCATATAAATCAGCAGCATCATCGATGTTCTTGGCACACGGAATTACTTCTTTTTCAAAGGTTATCTGATGGTCTCCTTTCCAGTTACATAGCTAGCGGATTTTGTGTGTGTAGCTGATAGTTATATGAGTATAAAAATATTTTTGTACCATTAAAATGAAAACACATCGTTATGTTACTCATTGTATGAAAAAATATTAAAGCTGTGTACTTTTTGAAGATTACCTTAAAACAAATCATTTTGAGCTGAGATTTTCCTATTCTGATGGTGATGGGTCATGTTGGGAAGTCATCTACTGGCCAGTGTTCGGTGCATATTGGGTGGAGTATTGGAACCCCTTTAAAGAACATTTCCTTTCTTTGTCTGCTCATTTCTTTGTGATGTGACAATGTCAGTGGCATCATTGAAGAACTCCCGAGACCACAGTGCTGTTGTAAAATTAGCACCTGGTTCTGGCTACGTTGAGATCCTATGGAAATAGCATTGCCAAGTTTTAAAGTGACTGTGTCAAGATATCTAAGATAGTAAAGCTCTGTTACTTGAGGGTCTTAGCAGGGTTGGTTTTTTTTTAAAATGTTCTTTTAAGCATAGAAAAAATTAAAGTTATGATATACATTTTTATTTTGGATATTAGCATAAAACATTGCATGGTAGCTTCTAGGTCAGATGTGCTCATTTATAGAGATTAAACACCTTAAGCTCTTCCAGAACCAGATAGCTAAAGTCCAGTTTTTTAAAATATATATATATATATATTTGTTGATTTCAGAGAGGAAGGGAGAGGGAGAGAGAGATAGAAACATCAATGATGACAGAGAATCACTGATTGGCTGCCTCCTGCACGCCCCCTAGTGAGGATTGAGCCCACAACCCAGGCATGTGCCCTGGTTCATAGGGAGACGCTCAGCCACTGAGCCACGCCGGCCGGGCTAATGTCCAGTTTTTGAGATCACTGAATAAAAATAAACGATCTCTGCAGGTCTTGACAGAGGGAAAGGTCTGGGGACCACGGTGCCAAAGCAGAAGGGAGTCTTTGGAGGGTCTGATTTCACCACATTAGCCAATATGAAGTCCCAGGGCTTCTCTCCTTCCATTCTGGCCACAAAAAACGTGTTTATTTTTGAGAGACAGACGGCGAGAGGAAACATAAGAGACACACACCAAAGCTATTTTCACTCTCTTGGAAAGAGGAGAACAGGAGGAGGCTGACTAAAGAAATGGAACCTTTTCCTTCACCTGCATGGCCAGCCCTGGCCCAGGCGGTGTGATGCGTAGAAAAGGTTAATTCAACTCAGGATCCTCTTAGTTCTCCTGTGAACTGATGTGATGCTGGACAGTCTTCCACTCTCTGAGCCTCAGTGTTCTCACCTGGTGGGTGGGAGGGGAGGGCCAGGCACCTGCATTTTCTTCATTACAATATGTCCCTCAGTCTCTGCCCTCTTGCAGTCCGGGAGCCCTCAGGGGATGTCTGGCTGATAATGTGTAATCTTTTGGAAGGAGGTGCTTGCAGTTGCCCAAGTGAGGAAGCTGGCAGAGAGGAGGAGGGGTCTGGTTTGCCCTCCGTCTCTTCCTCGTTGCAGGGTGACAAGTGGGAGGTGGCTCACGGCCAGCCCTGGTCAGTTGGAAAGAATCAGCTGAAGAAACAGTGTTGACAGTTTTTCAGGCTGCTTCCAGGTTCAGAGCACAAGTCTGTGTTTGACTAGTGATGTCTGCCAAGGGGCAGGAAGGGCTGACAGACAGGCTGAGTGTGTGTGTGTGTGTGTGTGTGTGCATGTGTGCGTGTGTGTGTGTGTGTGTGTGTGTGTGTGTTCTGGTCCTATATTACAGGTATGCTTAATACTTAATGTGTGTCTAAATGGACTATTAAATAAGGAAATACTATTATCCAGACTGCTGTTAATTTTTTGTTTTTCGTTCTTTTAACGATTTTCCAGGGTATATCTGAGACATTCTTGCTGTCACAGAGTGGAGTAATTTTGCTTTTGGAATTGGAAAGCTTAGACTTCAGTAGTGATTTGATTTCGAGCCAGGTGAGCAGATGATCTGGCGCAGTGGGACGTGTTAAGCGGATTCCCCCCGAAAATTCAAGAAATGAACAGAATGTTGGCTCTGTGTGTTTACACATACTTTAATAAGCAAAACCCATGCTAATGTTGGCTAGATGCTAAATGGAGCATGAAATGTAGTCTGGAAATAAAAGTCTGGAGCTGTGAGAAGCCCCCTTCTCACACAGGAAAGCCATCGCTTCTGCCTGGGCTTCTCCGAGAATCTCTCTTCATTGTCTCCTTAGCTCTGCCATCTCTCTCCCTCTCTCCTTGCCCCTCTCCCTTCTTCCCTCCCTTCCTCCTCCCTCCCTATCCCCCTCTCCCCTTCCTTCTTCCCTTCCTCCATCCCTCTCTCCCTTTTCACTTGAACTACATTTTGACCTTGAGGAAACGAATACTAAGGATTTCAGAGAATCTATTATCCTGGCATAATTGATACAGCTAAGACCAAGGATGGAAACAGGACAGGGGCAATTTTAAGCTGCATGCTAGAGCTGGCCAAGTCCTAGGGGAGCATAAGTGGACTTTCACATAGGGATTCTACAGGCCAGCTGTCATTATGTGGTCATGGCCGGGGCCCCTGGAGCACCATGTTTAGGAGAATTCTGAGGAGGGGTTTGGTCTCAGTGGGACTGAGCACCATGATCAGTTAGTGGGGGCCCATGACAGCTTACAGACGGATATTTCCACATCTGATATTCAGTCCCACTCATTAGACAGAGAAAGGTGGAGTGATTCAGGGCAGCCAGGTAGTGGCCAAGTCAGGACGGGAACTCGCTTCTTACAGACTAG